ATAGCGTAAAGCTTAACGAATATATATATATATATACATACATATATATATTTATGTCATTTTAGCAACTTAAGCTTAAACAACAACAAAATGAACTGTTTCGGTTTGCGACAAGTATTCAAAGTATTCGAATTATGCAAACTCATTATTTTAACTATAATCGATATTAGTAAGTAGCATTATATAATACATATATATATATATGAAATGAATACATATGTATATCGTGTATGTTTGTAGAGCTACACAGCAACTAGTTTTATATAAATACATATACATATATATGCGCAGCGTAGATCAGTTTAATTTTTTTTTATAAAATTCTTTGACTAATTTGTGCGTTTGCATTTTGTTTATTTTTTTTTTAAGAACTAACTAGTTTTGTTTGCACTATTTTCTCTGCTAATATTTTGATATAATATGTTGCCAATGTGTTTTAGTTATGTTACATTTTCGCGATTCGCTTGTTTTTACATATTTTTAGTTTTGCATAAATCAAATAACTTGAAAGCTGATCAATTTAAGGATAAAAAAAAACATAAAAAAAATTAAACAAACCATATGCTAAACATACATATTTTACTTATCTAAATATAGAAAAAAGAAAAAAAACACAAACACACACAGACACCAACACAAACATATTTCAAGTATATAAGCGTATTTACTAACAACAAAAATATATATATAAAAAAAAAAAATAATAGCGTTGTGCAGACCTACGATATACACATATATATATGCATATATATGTGTGTGTATTTGTATTTGTATTTCGATGTAAGAGCAAAAGAGCAACGACAATTTTGAATTGTAAAACATACAGACACAAGCACACACACACACACACACACACTCAGACACACCTATATTATGTAGAAATGAATTTTAATGTGTTACCTACGCATCGTCGTCGACTTGGACTCACAGACAACAAACTAATTATACATATACCAGGTATAAGCTAAAATTATATTTGAAATTATTTCACAAAAAAAAAAAGAAAAACAAAACAAAATTTATTGCAGTTTATTTGTTTAGTATATATAGATAGTATATACATACATATGTATATACACATGCATCCGTCATAAATATCGTAGTCCAACTAATCGTAAAATATTGGCCATCTAAACTTAATGATTATCAGCATCTGGATTAATAACAATCTTAACATTAATTTAGATTCAACCCTTGCAGTTCAAGCAGTCTAAATTAAAAGTCAACAAGTTAAAATTTTTTTATTGCAACTTAACAGTTTTTGTCTGCAGACAGCAGGGCGACAATGTTACAAAAATTGCCTGCTTTAGCATATTGTATGGCACACAGGCCAAGACAGTCCTTGGCACTGGGATTGCGGTAGTAGGGCAACAGATACTTAACCACATTTATCTCGCCCAGCTGGCTGGCATGGTGGAGCGCTGTGCGACCGCTGCCATCGGCCACCTCGAGATCGGCGCCGGCCAAGCGATATGACTCCAAGCGATCGACATTCCCATGCTCAGCGAGTGAGCGCAGCTTCTGGGCCAATTCCAATGGACCTTCTGTCAGGGTGGCGCCCTTCTTTAGCAATACTTCAATCAGTTCATGATTGTCCGCATCGATGGCCTCGTGCAGTGGCGTTCGATTGAATCGATCGGTCAAATCCACTGGGCTACCATCTTTTAGTAGGGTTCTGACGCAGTTTTCCTTGCCCAGAAAACAGGCCAGATGTAAAGCCGTCCGCCCCTCCGTGTTCGTATCGCTCAGATTGGCGCCGTATTGCTTCAGATTTGTTAGTTTATGTGGATTGTCCTCTCGGATGGCTGCTTCGACGAGCGCTGGAAAGAATGTGGCACACATTTCATAGCGTTTCTTGTCTTTGGAGACTTGGAGATCGCGTGCCACGCCCTCGATTAAATCGACTTCAGCGCTTTTAGCTGACTTTGGTATGGTTAATTCGCCGCGCAAGCTTTGTTCCATCTTTTCCTTCTTAACGTCCAAGTCCCATTCCTTTTTTCCCAGCACATAGGACAATTTAGTTAATGCTGCCTCCTGAGTCATATCGTAGGCACAGACCACGCCCAATTCCATCCAATTGGACGTTAAATGTTGGGGCATCACTTTGCCATTGGGACATTGCGTCATGTTCACAACCACAATACCACGAGAAATCGCATCGGAGATGATATCCGACAGCTTATGATCTTTGGTTGGTATATTGCCGATGCCGTAGCTCTGTATGACAACGCCCTTCATAGGAGGATTGAAGAAGCTCTGCATCACCTCGACTGAGATGCCTGGATACAAACGTAGCAGGCTCACATTCGGCTCCATTTCAGTGAATGCCGTGAACGGACCTGAATTGTTCGGATGAAATATGGTTTTGTTGTCGATGTCGATACTAACGCTACATGTGCCCAGTGCCGGGGCATTGGGCGAATCGAAAGCGTGAAAGGAATTGTTTGCTCTCTTAGTGCTGCGGCAGCCCCGCAACACTTTGTGGCCAAAGACCAGCATCACCTCGGGCAAATCAAAGTTGCCAGCGATCAGCAGCGATGTAATAAAATTGCTCCGGCCATCAGTGCGCAACTCAATGATGGGCAACTGGCTGCCGGTTATTATAACGGGCTTGGTGAGATTCTCCAGCATAAATGTGAGAGCTGAGGCAGTAAACGCCATGGTGTCTCTGCCGTGCAATATGATGAAGCCATCGTACCGTTCGTAATTGTCCTGAAAGCAAAAAGATTAACCCAAATAGAAAGTTTCGAGTTTTTGAGAATTATGCGTACTTCCACTTCTTTGGCCAACTGCACCCAATCATCCAAATGTATAGAGCTGGAGTTCATCAAGTGCGCAAACTCGACAATATCATAGATCACACGATATTGCGTGTCATGAATCCACGGCAGGACCAAAGGCGAGTTTTCGCCTCGCTCGAAAGGCAGTTTGTAGTCTTTGTCGTGACAGCTGGTATCCTCGCGCAGTCGTTTCATGAGTTCTCCGCTAACGTTTTGCAAAGCTGACGACAAACTAGCTTTTTTAAATATTGTTCAAATCTATTGAATATATTACACTTACACCCGTCTTCCATCCGCATCATGCCAATGCAACCGCCAGTGTGGATGACAAGGATTCGTGATTCTTTACTATGCGCACAGCGACATGATGAGTTTGCCATTCCTGCCTACTGTCACGTTACGTTAACTGAATTTTAAATTTTGTTTTTCCAAAACTTAAGTAATAAATTCTTACTTGTAAGTGACATTGCTTTCAAAAGATTAAATTTCTGAAAAATTCAAATGTGATAGCATTGCCAGATGATTACAAAGACAACAGTTTTCGTATAGATGTGTGTCAATTGTTATTTTGTAGGTTTAAACGGTGTAGCTTGATACTGAGCATGGATTCATAAAGCAGAAAAAAATTTATACAATGTATTACTAATTTGACAGTTTGTGGATTCTTTAATTTTAGTAGCGAGCGCATTTAATTAATTTAAATAATCCGGTGCTGCCAGATGTATACCATCAATGAATGTTATTAACATAAAATATCCTCTGTTAAGCAACATTTTCGTCGTGATGCCAAACGAACGGTTGTGTGACCATATTTGTAAACATGATATACATATGTGTAAACATTCAGACCTGTGCCTGTGGGTGTGTGTGCACATGTGTAAACAAATTGATCCGGCTATCGCTTATGCCGGGGCCAAACAAATAATTTTTAAAGAATAATAGCGTAAACTTTAATATTTACCGAGAACTGTGGGAAAGCGTCGAAATGAGTTTACAATTTACCTGGCGAGTACAACTACTCTCGTGTGTATTGAGTTTATACAGCAGATCTATCAGCGCGCTTAGGATCGCTGCCAATAAGCAATCGTGACGTCACATGCTTCTTCTTAATGCGAGCGACGCACACCTGCAATGAGCTTGAGCCACTGCCATGCGGCCGACCGCTAGAGATGTCCAGGAATGAGGCAATGAGGAATTTGATGTAACCGTAAGGACAAGGAACTTGATGACATTTTAATTAAGATGCACAACCCAAAAATTTACCGTTTGTCATTAATTAATTAGAGCAACAACAACAATGGACTGATGCGAACAGTTGTTGCTAATGTCTGCCAAAAAAACAAAACAAAGCGAAATAAAACGAAATCAAAAAATAAAACAACTACAGAAAAGAACGAAGCCACAGCATGCAACAGCAGCAACATCAACGGCCCAGCAGCAGCAGCAATAACGGCAACAAATTATTTGCTAGAATTGAGCAATTTGCTAGTTCTGCGTTGCGTATAGGCAATATTAAAAATAAAGTACGAGCGCCCAGCGAAACGGCAAGAGCAGATCACCTTGTCTAGAGATCATCCATTCGGAAGATGAACAAACGCGGCATTATCATTCTGTGCATCATTGCCACGCTGCTGTGCATTGTGCTCGGCGCGAACTTCTACTTCATGTACTATCTCAACGCCGAAGAGAGTCAGCTGGCGAGTGTGCGTGCGCTGGAGAACATGATCCGGCACAAGATACGGCATCTGAAGCCAGCGTATCTAAATCGCAATCCTCGCTTCTTCATGTTCCGCAACAAGCTGCTGAAGAACTACAAGCAGGCCAATTACGAAAATGCCAGCGTGCTCTGGGAGATAGCCAACTGGGTGAGTCTGCATACATATATAGTATATATCTATGTAACAATATCTGAACTATGTTTGCCTTTCGCAGTGGCCACACGAGAACGAGATCTATCCCTTGTACGACTCCTCAATGGGACAGCTGCTGAAGACGTTGCGCGACGAGCCCATCACCAGGGCCAGTAATTTGGCACGGGGCACACAGCTAAAGCTACTGCTACGTCTCAGCCAGCAGCAGAAGGTAATCTTCAAGCCACAATGGTATCCACGTGACGTGGTCATAGAGGGCGTCGTCTATAGCGGCAAGGATCGCCATGTAGCCGAGGTGTATGCCTTCTATTTGGGCGCTGTGCTCGACTTGCGCTGGACACCCATTGTGGTCGGTCGCGTGGTGAATCTCAAAACTGAGATCTACGCCCACGGCGATCAGGAGCTGCAGAACACAATAAAAATTGAAGTGGATGAAGAGGGCAAGGAGACATACTGCCTGTATGGCAGGTGTCACTACTGCAACGAGGAGGAGACTGTCTGCGGCGATGAGCAGCACAATATCGAGGGCGTCATTATCTACATTGTGCCGGGCACGCTGGCCAAACGGCGTTCACCCTGGCAACGCACCTACAAGGAGGAGAAGCGCGCCATTTGGGAAGATGATATGACCTACTGCAAGTAAGAGGAGCTAAAAATAAAGTTTACCCAGATATTCCATCTCATCTCATTCCATTTCGCAGATCTCTCAAGAACAAGATGGAAACAATGCGACTATTGGACCTCATAGATGTGGCCATATTTGACTATCTGATACAGAATGGAGATCGTCATCATTACGAGACGCGCGAAGAGCGCGTGGTGCTCATTGACAATGGCAAGGCGTTCGGTAATCCCAACAAGGATCATCTGGATATACTGGCACCGCTCTATCAGTGCTGTCTGTGAGTTTAACTCCTGATTATACTTGATAAGCTTGTATTTATTTCGGAACCCCTTTTCCAGCATACGTAAATCCACATGGGACCGTCTACAAGTATTCTCGGGCGGCGTTTTAACCGAAATCGTTGATCGTCTGTCCAAACAGGATGCTCTCTATCCGCTCATCACGGACAAGCATAAACGTGGCGTTGAGCGCAGATTACTCGTGGTGTTCGCTGTAGTGGAGTACTGCATGGACAAGGAGGGTGACAAGATGTTCAAGACGCTCTAGTTCCAGTTACAGATTAGCTAAGGTCTAGGTTGTTATTAGGTTTAGTAATTCAAGTGCCCAAATACACGTATTCTATCTATAGTTATATAGCGATTGCTTTAAATGCTTCAAAGGAAAGAGATAATGTTTCAACGGCTTTTCCAGATCAATTGTTAAATTTAATGTTACAATCCACTTGTAACTATTAGTTTTATTTAAAGTTAAGATTGTTGCCTAGTTTAAACAGAATACAAACTGAAAGAAAACAAAACTAAATATTCTGAATGCAGTTTAAATAACCGCATATGTCGGTCTGTTGATCGGGTCGAATGGTTCAGATTTTCTTTCTCATTTACTTCTTTCTCTCTTTATTAATTTTGCTGAAAGTGAACAGTTTATTAAACTGTTTGTTGTTCCGATTGTTGGGTCGATTCTGCAATAGATTTCAAATGGTTTATATAAATATTATTTTTAGTTTTTATGATTCAATCCACCAAACATACCTTGCCGCGTGTTTGTGATTTAATTTCTGTGCCCTGCGCACGCTTAGCACCGCCTTGAAATTGTCGGAAGTCGACGTTCTTATAGTCAAAGTTTTGCACCGCTGCACTGTTGGGGGGCAGTTGTACGGGTCTATTGGAGCTTTGTTGTTGCAGGCGTTGCTTGGCCTTGAATCGGTTGTTCTTCTCCTGGCGTTTCTGCTGACGCTTGCTGAGCACAGGTGCTGGAGTCTCCGCGGGACTTCTCTCGATGGGAACTTCAGTCACATCGTTGTCATCATCGTCATTATCAATTTCTATTGTGTTTTGTTGTGTTTGGTTAGTTATTGTCTCGGCCCCGAACGTCGAAGCACTTGGCTTCTCCTCGCTCTTGCTGCGTTTCGCTTGCGTGGATGGCTCCGTTGCGGGCTGATGTTTGCGTTTGAGCTGCTCCTTGAGTGGTAGACTCTGTTCGGGATCCTCTTCCACCTTTGGCTCGATTTCCAGCTTGATGTCCACCGGCGCTGGTTCGGCGGGGCACAGACGTCGCTTGAGCAGCTCATTATTCTCCTTTGCGGTCTGCTCCAACTTCTGCTGTTGCATGAGCGGCAGTATAGCCACGTAGCGCTTGTAGGGCATGCGCATTGTCTGGCTCTCTTGGCGGCCGCGCATCCAACGCATCTGCTCCTCCTGTGAAGGCTTCGCTGACCTCTTGAATAAAGATAGGGCCGGTGCTATTAGGGGCACCGTAGGTACCTCTAATTTCGGCTTCTTTGTATGTATTAATTTGCCCGTGGGATTACGACTAAGCAGCGTTGGCAAATCATCGCGTGTCTCTTCCACATGCGAAAAGTCAAGAGGGCAATTCAGTTTGCTGCTGAAGTCCTTGTTGCTCGGTGACAAGTTCAAGGGTGCAATATGTCGTGCTTCCAATATGGGCTGCAAGTGAAAGGATATTAAAATAAAGTATAGACATTGAAGTGGGGATTCACTCACTTTGATCAAGGGCTGTTCACGCGCCCGCAACACAATCTGATGCAATGTGTTCAGCTGCTGGCGCACCAAGGGGGGAATTGGATTGCAGCAGGCCAATATGCCCTGCATTTCACGAGGCAAACTCTCGGCTATTTGTAACATCATATGATTGGGCAGCACATAGCCGTAGCTTTCGTCTTCCTGGCGAGCGGTCGAATCGCGCCACAAAAAGATGCCGCGCAGAGCATGTAGCTGGCGATTGTCAAAGGAGCGCTTCGTCTTGCGCACTAGATCCAGATGCGAATCCGGTCCGATGTGCGGCTTGGTGTAGCGCTTCTTGCAAACGTCTGTGCTCATCTGATAGACCATGCGCAAGCCCTGTAGACCCTGCTCGGATTGCAGCAGATCGTTCGTGAGGCGCTCATATATATAGATGAGATAGTGGGTGTCTTGGCGTGCATAGTCAATTAGTTTTTGGGGCAGCGGGCGCATGCGCCAGTCTGCCAACTGCAGGCTCTTATCAACATCCAGATCCAGGTAATGCTTCAGCAGAAATGCCAGCGAAAGTCGGGCCATGTTCAAGGCCTTGGCTGCCCGATGTGTATCGAACATGTTGACGATATATAGAGATAGATCGCGTTGCAGCCATTCGATATCGAGATCGGCGCCATGCAATATCTTGAGCACCTTGGGATCGGTGAGAACGAGATTTAGGATGTGCATCTCCTCGCGCAACTTCAGCGTATCGAATATATAGTCCTTGGTGCGTGTTGACATCTGCACCAGGCATGTGATGCCCATAAAGGTGCGGTACGAATGATGCTCTACATCGATGGCTATTTGGGACGCTTGACGCAGCTCAGTGAGTGCCTGCTGCAATGCATCCACACTGTCCACTAACATCAGTTCAGTTTGGGCTGGCGGTGCCGGCAAGACGGGCTTTTGCTTTTGCAATTGCTCACTGGGCGGCTCAAATTTCAACAGCTCAAACTCATACGGATGTAGGAAGGACACCACATTGCCAGTATCATCGTATTCGGGCAACAAAGCCAAGGGCTTCAACGAATTGGGTTTCTCTGTAAGACGTGGTCGGAAAGGATTCTGGGCGCTATTGTCTACGGGCACCTTAAACTGCATTTGGGGGCGCATTATATTCTGTGCCGTAAACAATCGTGCCGAGACCGTGTTACGCGTTGGTGTCCCGGGAGTCGTGCTGTAGCGATTCCAGCTGCCAGCACGTGGTGATTCTTTTGTTACAGTCGAGGGTTTTGCGGCACGCGATGCGGATTGTACATTGACCTGGGTTTCGACAACCACGGGCTGGTTGCCTCGTCTTAGGCCGCTCCTTATGTCTAAGTTGGTTGTGATACGTTCGAATAAAATATCATTGTATTCCTGTACCATTTCCAGTTGTTCATCGCCTTGACGCCTGCGGGTATTTTTTTAGATTTGTATGTGAATGTAAATGAAATAGAAGTTTACCGTCTAATATCGCCTGATATATTTTCCGTCTTTAAAACCTTGTTAATCAATCCCAGCACTCGCTGTGACTGCTCCTCCAACATGCGCGCATACCCGGGATAACTCATGTACACCGAGCGGGCTGCGCCCTGTGGCAGGGTATTACAAATGCGTGTGGCAGCCATAACATTGCGATAGGCATCCTAGATAATTGTGAGTGTGAGTTTTTTCAAATATCTAACCTCTCTGCATACGCTTACCGTTGTAAAGCTGGTTATGTCCCTGGGATCAGAGCTGGCTTGAGATGTTGACGGTTGGGGAGCGGCATCTTCTTTAGGCTGTTCTGGTTCCGTCGGATTTTTTCGTTTTGGTGGCTGTGGCATTGTGTTGGGTATAACGTAATGAATAATTTTTGAAATTGTGTGAACTTTTATATCTGATTTGTTTGCTGGTTGGGTACAAAGAAAYGTGCGTTTTTCTTCTTCTTCCGAAAGAATTAAAAACACCGATAATTTAGAGTTGTCAACTACTACCAGCGGCAAATTTTAATTACTCATTGAAATGCAAGACTATTGAAAACGATCCAATTCGAGCTGGCCATACAAATTTACAGCGAAGAAAATTATAAAAAATTGACTGAGAGATTGAAATGATTTCGACAACATATTCGACCGCATCATGTTTTAAATGTGTTAAATATTTGGACTGGTCTCAGTAATGTCGTCACTAACAAATGGAATATCGAAACTATCGAAATCGTTGCGTTCTCTAACTTGTCTACAGTTCCATCGATGTTTATGTGATAATCGAAATCCCAGCGTTAGCCGCCAGAAAATAAAACCGTAATTATAAAAAATTATCTATTAAAACTACGTACAGCCATCCCATACATAACACTATCCAACTCCCCGCACTGCATCATCATGCTGGATCTGTACAGGCGCGTTGTGGCTCGCTTTCCACTTGGCAATGTCAGTTACATGTTCGCCTACGGTTCGGGCGTCAAACAGCAAATCGGCTATGAAAAAGTGGACGAGAAGCCGAATTCGAAAAGTGTCATCGACTTGGTATTTTGTGTACGTGACACTCAGGGCTTCCATGCGGAGAATATACACCGGCATTCCAGTCACTATTCGGCATTACGCCATCTGGGCGCTAACCTGGTGGCTCAGTATCAGGAGCTTCTCGGCGCCAGGGTTTATTTCAATACCCTGGTGCCACTGCATGACCTAGGAGTGACTATTAAATACGGCGTGGTACATGAGGATCATTTGATTGATGATCTAATCAATTGGCGGCACCTTTACTTGGCCGGGCGCCTTCAAAAACCCGTCACTGATCTCATAAAGCTCGATGACGATTCACGTCTTAAAACCGCCTTGGAGAAAAACCTGCGGTCAGCTTGTCAGACGGCACTGCTGCTGCTGCCCGAAAAGTTTACCGCCTACGATCTGTTCTATGCAATTGCCGGGCTAAGCTACAAAGGCGACTTTCGTATGATTTTTGGCGAGAATAAACGGAAGGTGCACAACATAGTTCAGCCGCAGGTCCGTGAGTTCTTCACACTCTACCAGCCCATTATGAAACAGTTGTCGCAGTACATGGCCGTTGATTTGCATGGCCAGGAGCCGGGCTCGCGGAGACCGGCCATTGTGTTCGAGCAGGATAAATCTGGCGAAGCTACGCGATATCATCTGCGCCATTTGCCTAAGGAGCTGTGCCATCGATTGAAGCGCAATGCTGCATGCCGTGGAGATTATACAGATGTGGTGGACTATCTAGCCGTAGCGCCACTGCTCCCAAAGATCGTCCAGGTGTCGGTGAACGACATTGTGTGGCGCAGCAGTATTAAGCAATCGCTGAAAAATATTGCCACCGCAGGGATTATAAAGTCGCTCGTCTACAGCTTTCGCAAGGCACAGAAGACATTCGCAGTCTAAAGTATTTATCTCATCTGCTCTAAGTTAAACTCTAGCTGATTTTTCCTGCCAATTATTGACTAAGTTGCGCTAGATTGTGCTAACTTTCTGTTAATTAATTTTAAGCCCCAAAGTTGTTGTTGACATCAATAGAGAATGTGTAGATTACAAAGTAGAACCTTTGAGTTTTCATTGCCGGTAATTGAAAAATGTTTTACAGAAGTCCAGTATGACCAGCGATTCGAGCAGCTCCAGCGATGAGGAGCACAGGCGCAAGCGCAAGCATAAAAAACATGGCAAGGAAGCTGATAAGAAGCACAAGAAATCAAAGAAGCACAAGCACGAAAAGCGTCATAAGGAAAAGAAGCGCAGCAACCGGGAAGTATCGCCAGAGAAGGAGCAATTACATCAGGAACTGCCCACAAGGAGCACTGAAGATGCAGCTGCGGATGCAGATGCAAATGCTTATATGCCCGCACTGCCGCCACACTTAATGAAACAGGAAAAGCCTCAGCTAGAGCCGCAGCCACAGCCAACTCCGATTATTGGACCCGTAATGCCCAGCCAGCTGGCCGCAGTTGAGGACGATTCTCCACACAAAACTGAAGCAGCTGAAGATGATGATGATGATCTGGCGGGCACGTTTGGACCCCTACCGAATGCTACACAAGTCGAGCTGGAGGAACGTGCACTGACCATGAAGCTGGCTGCGCTGGAAGGCGGCGGCTTAGGCGGCTCTACAGCAGATCAAGAATTGCGCGAGGAGTGGATGCTGGAGCTGCCCGAGGTGGGTCTGAAGAGCGGTCTGGCCGCTCTAAACAATATGAAGCGCACATTCTATCAGGGCAAAGAGCGACCGGATTTCAGTGATCGCAGCTCCTGGACGAAGACGCCGCAAAGTGCGGCTGCTGGTCCAAAACCCTGCAGTTCCAAAGATTTGGAGCTAAAGGCGAAGGCAAACTATGAACGTCAGCGCGATGAGGAGCAAGAGTCCATTGCTAAGAAACACAAGAAGAAGCACAAACGAGATGAATCCCTTGTTGAGCTGCATCAGAAGAAACTGCGTAAGGAACAGCGCCAGCGGGTAAAAAGCGAACTATATTAAAGAAAATTCCCGAAAGTTCTAGTTCATATTTTTGCTTTCAGGAGAAGGAACTGGCCGCCAGCGGCTCCAAACCTGAACGACGACCCTTTAGTCGCGATGTGGACCTGAAGCTAAACAAAATTGACAAAAATCAAACCAAGCAAATTGTGGATAAGGCTAAGATACTCAACACAAAGTTTTCAAGCGGTCAAGCAAAGTATCTTTGAGCAATGTATAAATTAATATAAAATTATTTTAATATAAATATATTGAATGGGTCTTTTATCGTTGTGGCGGTGGCTTGGGTTTGGGTATCTTGGAGAGCAGTATTTGGATCTCGTCCTTTTCTTTCCAGTCCTTCCACAGCTCGTAAAGATTGACAATTGCGCGCACTATCTCCTGTACTTTGTCCAGGTCGACGTTCAGCTCGGCGAACCATTGCTTGGTGGAGTCCTTTTGCAATATGACGCATGCGATTTGCAGACAGGCAATGGCAATCTGAAATCCATTAAGGATTGAGTATTCTATTGAATTATCATGATGGGTGCTCATGGTGTTTACCTGATAGGGTGGGTACAGTAGGCAGACATCCGTGCGCAACGAGTCGTTGACTATGCGCCAAGTAAGTGTCAGCAGCTGGTCCTCCTGTCCCATATCCTGGACAAGTTGCAGCAACGGCCGATACGGCTGGAATACAATTAGGCAACAGTCGAGATTCTCCAGTAAATAAAACTCGCATTCGAGTATGTGATTGGTGCGATACGGAAATTCCTGGGTATACGCATAGCTGAACTTTGATTTGATGGCCGTCTGGCAAATGGAGATGAGACGAGAATTTGATATGACACCAAACTCTTCCACTTTGGAGGCCAGCAGGATGCAGGTGGGCGCCAGGAGCAGAGGATCGATATTTTTCAATGAGTTGCGCGCATAGAAGCGTTTGAAATACACGGTTGCCGTGGCAATAACCTGTTGCCGCAGCTTCAACTGCTCCCCAAGCACTTGAATGACATTCGCAAAAAATATAAATATTTTTTGATACTCATCCTCGGTGAGGACCAGTAAATCGTTTTGTCGTTCACGTAGCAAATCCTGCTTATCCAGTATCCATTGCTGCGAGTGCGAGCTCTGCCAAAAGTTTCCTGCCATTATGAGCCCGGCAGTTTATTATCACTTGGCCTTGATTTTTCGGATATACAAAATATTGTGAATTGCTTAAATTAGTTACAAAAATTGTGAAAAAAATCTTGAACAAACAGAAAACCTTCTAGATTCTAGAAGCCGCAAATTTTGTGTCATTACAGTGTGACCAGATCGGCCAACGTTGAGCAGCTGATTTGATTTTTTGTGAATCTATTATTATTTACTTCGGCAATATTTGTTAATATATTATAAGCTTCACAGATTATAATCAATTGGCCTTGATATTTCGGTTCTAAATAAATTGTAAGTCTTTGAAAACAAAAATAAGTTAGCCAAATATTTGAACACAGAAAGAAAGTGTTGCAGTGTGACCAAAGCTGAAATACATCGACCAGCTGATTTGCACGCAGCCAACTTAACGCCTTAGCATAGTACATATGCGAGTGTGTGAAATTTTCAGCAGGCGCCGCGACAACGGGAACGCAGAAGTTTTAGTTATTTTAAGTGCTTAAAATATTGAACGATTATAAGAAACGATGGCGTTGCGTGTACTTGGAGTAACGCAGAATATGCGCTCATACATGCGCGGCGTTGACTTGATCAAGGTAAATAATAAAAATACAATTATATTTTTGCTTACACTCCAGTATATTAAATTACGTAATTGTGTGTGTTGTAAGCTGTCCACTCGCAATTTACATGTTGCATGAGTGGCGAATACCCCTATTAAAAGACTCAAGTCACAGCATAAATATCATCCATCAATGTGCTAGCTAAAAGCTGCGCAAAATAATTACAAAATAACTTTAGCAGATTTGAGGTTATGTGTCGCCAATTGCCCAACCAATTCAAAAGTTAAAATTTTTGTTTTGTTTTTTCTTATATTTTGTAGCGCTACAAATCGGCTCTGACCGTTAAGAAGACGCTGCTGAACATACCCGCCACCCAGGTAACCAGGCTGGACAATGGCCTGCGCGTCGCTAGCGAGGATTCGGGCGCATCCACCGCAACTGTTGGTCTCTGGATCGATGCTGGCTCGCGTTCCGAGAACGACAAGAACAATGGCGTTGCCCACTTCTTGGAGCACATGGCGTTCAAGGTAAAATGGAACAGGAATAGTATAGTATATAAATATAATATATAATAAATCTTTCATTATACCAGGGTACTGCCAAGCGTTCGCAAACCGACCTGGAGCTCGAGGTTGAGAATATGGGTGCTCACCTGAACGCATACACATCTCGCGAGCAGACCGTGTTCTACGCCAAGTGTCTGTCTAAGGATGTACCTAAGGCCGTTGAGATTTTAGCCGACATTATTCAGAACTCCAAGCTGGGTGAGTCGGAGATCGCACGCGAACGTTCGGTCATTCTGCGCGAGATGCAGGAGGTGGAAAGCAATCTGCAGGAGGTGGTCTTCGATCACTTGCACGCTACTGCCTATCAGGGCACTCCTTTGGGCCAGACGATTCTTGGCCCCACCAAGAACATTCAGTGAGTGGAATATGTTTGATACAAATTAAGGTCTAGCTAAATTATGTCATTTGTAGGTCCATTGGCAAAAGCGATCTGACCGACTACATTCAGACCCACTACAAGGCGTCGCGCATTGTTTTGGCTGGTGCCGGTGGTGTCAAGCATGACGAACTTGTTAAGTTGGCCGGTCAAAATCTTGGAAGCTTGGAATCGAGCGTGCTGCCAGCTGAAATAACTCCCTGCCGCTTCACTGGCTCCGAGGTGCGCGTGCGTGACGACTCACTGCCTTTGGCTCATGTAGCTATTGCTGTTGAGGGCTGTGGCTGGACCGATCAGGATAACATCCCATTGATGGTGGCCAACACCTTGGTAGGTGCCTGGGATCGTTCCCAGGGCGGTGGCGCCAACAATGCATCCAACTTGGCTCGTGCCAGTGCCGAAGACAGTTAGTATTCAAATAATCAAAATATCCTTGGCCCATTGTTTGTACTCCTGCTTTGAATTCTACACGCAGATTTGTGCCACAGCTTCCAGTCGTTCAATACCTGCTACAAGGACACCGGTCTGTGGGGCATCTACTTCGTTTGCGATCCATTGCAGTGCGAGGTATGCACTAATCTCTGTTAGCGGATTTTTTCATAAAACCAGCTCCTTTTCAGGATATGCTTTTCAATGTGCAAACCGAATGGATGCGTCTGTGCACCATGGTCACAGAGGCTGAGGTCGAGCGCGCCAAGAATTTGCTGAAGACAAACATGCTTCTGCAGCTGGATGGCACCACCCCCATTTGCGAGGACATCGGTCGCCAGATTCTGTGCTACAATCGCCGCATCCCATTGCACGAACTGGAACAGCGCATTGATGCCGTCAGCGTGCAGAATGTGCGCGATGTCGGCATGAAGTACATCTATGACAGATGCCCCGCTGTGTCCGCCGTTGGACCCGTCGAGAATTTGCCCGATTACAACAGAATTCGCTCCTCCATGTACTGGTTGAGGGTCTAAGTAGCTACGATGCTCTGGTCTGAAAGATATTGTTGCTAGCCGTGTAGATTAATTCAAGAAAAATTTGATCCAAGAGAATCAGTAAAAACCAAACTAAAATAAAACAAACACACATAACTTAAAATGAGCTGCTGTAAATATTTGTTCGTTGTATTTTATTGATATTCATTGATTATGATACATCCATAGTCTATTATCTAATCGTGCGAGTAATTAATGGGTATTCCACTAAGACCCTTCTGCAGTTTAGCCGGCTCGGTTTGACCCAGTGCCGGGTCCAAGCCTTGCCAAGTACGGTCCTCGAACGTGAGGCCCGAGTCGCTAGTCATCAGTGCCATTTTAGCTTGGGTAGCCACCGTTGTGTTTGAATCGACGGCCTCTTCGCTGGCAGTGCCTCCCCTCATGCGGCCGCTGACCAGGCTCACGTCCTGTGGCTGTACGGCTTCTGCATCAAAGGCCAAGAAGCTGCGTCCCTTCGGGAGCAGCTGCTTGAAATCCGTGACATAAGCTTCCGGGAATTTCATGTGCCAGGCTGGATTCAACGCCATTTCGGCCTCAAACACCGACACAATGGGCTTATAGTACTCCTTGGAATTATACATATTGTTGAAGGGACAGCCGATGAGCACAAAGCAGTCGATCTCCAGAAAGTTTGCCAGCTTGGCAGGATTAATGCGGCCAACGGAAATGAGTTGTGTTTTAATGCCACGACTCTTGGCCATTTCCTGCAAACGTGACACAACATCTAAATAGCCAACAGCGCTCAATGTGGCCACAATCAGGCCTAGAGTCTGTGCATCCTTGCATTTCTCTATGTAGTAATAGCGTCTTCGTATATATTGTGCTGTCAGCGGATTTTTGGCAGTTAACGTGCCGCTGGCACCGTCGAGAATGTGCCACTGGTACGCTGTGGTGGTCAGTGACAAATTAGCAAAGCGCTGATTATCTGCACCGATAAAGATGCAAATACGCTCTGCCGTCGATGCAGTCTCTGTCTCAGCTTGTTCCTTGTTCTCCATGCAGTCCTCAGCGGGTGGTGGATACACCTCGATAAACAACTTCTTGGGGCCCAGCACTTCACGCATCTGGCTATGGAGCGTGTCCTCGCCCTCAGCTAGCTGATGCTCATAGATATGTTGATAGCCAATGTCTAGATAAACGCAAACCTCTCGCTCAGCGCACTCTGGCTGCAGAGTGGCCAGCTGTTGCAGCACCGTAGACAGCTCCAACGGCAGCACTGGGTACAAATAGAGTACTGGCAAACGGCTGGCCTTGCTGCGGCATGCATTGCCAAAATGAATAATGCTATCTGCCTCCACGTGAGCCGCGGCGATTTCGTCCACGCAACAGCTGCCATACGTGGTGTCAGCCAGAATGAATATTTTGCAGTCCTCTGATGCTAGCGCTGTCTGCAGGCAAGTGCTGATCGCATTGCTGTGTGGCAAATAGTCGTCTGGGAATTGCAGGCAGATCTGAGAGATATGTTAAAATCACGCGATGACATTTTGTTGTTGCATTTACGCACCCGCTTGTAACCATTTTGTCTTATCCAGCCAAGGCTAACTTTTTTGTGCGTTTCGTTCCAGATTTGTTCAAATGTTACCGGCGCTTCCGTTGGTGAATCTGTCTGGCGCTCCAGTGCTGCCGTATCCTGGCTGGAAAAGGCAGATGCTGTCATTGTTCGATTTTATAATGTGCAAAGATTGCAAAATAAACAATTGAAGTGAAAAGCCGATAAGCGATTCGATAGGTTTATACCTATCGAAATTGGTGGTATTTTTTGCACTGTCTCTCTCTCTCTCTCTCTCTCTCTCACTCCAACAAAAGTTGGTGTTTGACATGAAAAAACGACTTATCGATATGCTTTTGCTTTTTCCATCACCAAGCTTAACTGCTCACCAGGTAACAGAGCAAGCGAAATTTGTCGAAACTAACCCCAGACATATTTTTTTAGGCACATTAGACGCGCCAACGGATGAGAATACGCGCGCATAGCTCAACGTCAAGCAACGGTAAAAAATCATCAACTAGTATACGAAATACGAAATACGCAACGACTTCACAAATCTAAACAAAAATGGATGACTCACGCGAGGAAAGCCAATTTATTGTGGATGATGTGAGCAAAACAATTAAAGAGGCCATCGAGTCAACTATCGGTGGCAACGCATATCAGCACGATAAGGTAAACAACTGGACCGGCCAGGTTGTCGAAAATTGCCTCACCGTGCTCACCAAAGAGCAGAAGCCCTACAAATACATTGTCACAGCCATGATCATGCAGAAGAACGGCGCCGGTCTGCACACGGCCAGTTCCTGCTATTGGAACAACGACACCGACGGCAGCTGCACCGTGCGCTGGGAAAACAAGACCATGTACTGCATTGTCTCTGTCTTCGGGCTGGCCGTCTAAGCGGGCGCTCGTCGATCTAGACACAAATCACTAAAATCTAAGGGGGAGGGACTAACAAGATTGCCTTGCATTTCTTTTGCGTGTAAGTGCATAGATATCTTTATTTTAAATATACTAAATATAATAACTATCATATTTCGCAGCTGAAACACAATTCTAATCGGTTTACTCAATTAACTCTGCAGACATAAACAGGAGAATTCAGCCGAACTGTTTGTTCAAGCCACATAACAAGGAATCTAACCAATCTATCAAATTACAGCAACGAGCAAAGTATTGTCCAATTCTTAGAATGCAGCACATATACAGCAAAATTCCCAATTATTTAGCAAAATGTAATGTACTTGTATTATTTTCTCAAGTTCTAAATAACAAAAACTGCACACAAAGTGTTTGAATGTTACGGATTATTTTTCATTTAAAAAGTAAATTTAATAAAATATAAAAAATGAAAATAAGTGCCTTTGTTTTATTTTAGTTTCTCTCCACTCGGCCTTGAGCAACAGCCCGACAGTTGTTTAATCGATGCAATAGCTGCAATCAATACAGGGTGATTTCTCTGCCTCATTTAAAACGTAAATTTGATAAAATGTAAAAATAAATTGTATTTTATTTTAGTTTCTCTCCACTTGGCCTTGACAGTTTCATAATCGATGCTATTACTGCAATCAATACAGGGTGCTCTTTTTTGTTACCTACAAACTTTCATTTTTTGCGCTGGAAGCGCCTCGAAGCCGTCAGCGCTGGCACTGTGCTGGGCAGTCGCAGTGACAGCATGTCCGAGCGCGCCTTGGGCCGAGCATTGACTATGTGGGCGTAGGTAATGATGCGTTCCTTGGATGTGCGCAGAATGCGAGAAAGCGTATTGACATCCACTTCATGCTTATCACTGATGAGCAGCGCCAGCACAATGAAATGTGTGAGTGCCTTCTCTGTGCTGAAGGTGGTACGTGTACAGGACTTGGCCACATTGGGATCCGCGAATCGATGCCGTATGTCATTTTCCACTTTCTCCGAAATCTTCGATAATTCCACGGTTTTCATTTGCCGCTTGCGCAGCGCAATGAGCGACTGCAGCGCGTCCATGTAGATTATCAATTTAATGTGCAGAAAATCCTGTTTTGTGGTAATTTCTTTGTTCTGGATGCGCATGATGCACTCACGCAAATAGTCCGACTCAATGCTGCAAAGGGTACGGTTTTAGCTGGGGCGAGAATATATTAATCAATAGAGGATACTTACGGCAGTGACTCCAATGGCGTTGAGTATACACTTTTTGCTTCCTCGTCCAGGCGGTCGAGCAGTGCTTGTGGCACCACGTCCTCCACATCGTAGATCTCGTTTATTTTTGTCGCCGCCTTATCGAACTTCGGCACAATGGTAGCCAGATATTCGGCATTATTTATATCCACCTCGGGTAGGGTATTGTCTTCCTCATCTTCTCCTCCCTTTGCAACAGAGCTCTGGACGGTTTCATCCAAATCCTTGCGCATCACATCTACATTGACCATCATCTGCTCGTGATTAGCCACATAGCGGGAGGCCTTGCGACCGCCGAACTCTTTGAGTAACTTCTTTGTGGCGTGCTCTTTGCTCAGCATCGGCCGGTTCTCCTGTCTCTCCATCTTCTCGTAAATGTGGTTCGAGAGCAGCGATTGCTGGACGGGCACAATTGTTGCCGTGTTTGTTGATTTATTACGCACACAGATATACGTATCGAATTCTTCGTTGTCCTGCAAATCGCCCACATAGGTATTCACACCGGCCATGACCAAGGCACGTTTGCGGGGATTACGTTTGTTTTTGCTTTCAATCAGTGAAAAATTTGAGCCGCCGCTTAACGAGCCGTTCTGAAAATTTACTGCAAGCAAAGGATTTTTTTACGACATTTTACTTCAGTTCCAACATACAACTTACGCATTATGGGTGAATATGCATCTTGCTTATGTGTATAAACATTTTCAATCAATGTTTTCTCATCCATTTTTATTTAATTAAAATAATATTTAAAAACTTAAATACAAATTAAATGTTAGATGTGCCGTTGCACGTGTAGGAATTACAAATAGCCGAACAGCTGATGATACAGTGCTGCCAGATGTTTGCTGTTACCAGAGTTGCCGCGGGTAAAGTAGCCCGCGCAATTTCAAATGGAATCTCTGATACGCACGCCAAAACTGCATTAATAGTGAGGCCAATAATTATATTTTATGGACTCCGAACATTTGCATTTATGTTAAAACCCGCGAAGTTGTAGTGCTTGCTTTTAACTATTTTTACCACTTGCTGCAATGTAAAAATATGAATTTGATTAGCTGTGCAAGACATTATTTATAATTTATCAACTCACCAGCACTAATTTGATTAAAAATACTGCAAACGTTAAAAAATTAATACTCATTAGCGCTGCTTCCGGTGGAAATTCTAAATTGGATTCATCCAACAGGCCGCGTCGTCTGCGCCTGTGCCGCTCCGTTGGTTGCCACAGCACCGAGAACTGTTGCTCTGTGGAAAGTAAAATTCACTTAAAGCGTCTAAAACTTTTTATTATTTCAGCTACGCACCAATAACTTTCATGAAATTATCTCGCAGCTGCTTCAGTAATTTAATTTTATTTTCTATGTTGAGCGCAGACTTCTTAATCCAGCCGATTTGCATCTTTTTGAGGAATTTCAGAAAACCCTGCATACTGGGCAGAAGTAGCTCCCCATCATCCTCGCTGTCCGACTGCTCGGTGGCAGTCTCCTCAATCTCATCGACGTCCTCGGCGCTCTCCACATGCGACGAGTGCCGACGCGATGTCGTTTCCACTTTGGGGGTAACGACCACATCTACCTCCACTGGCGGACTACTGGAACTGTTTTTCACTACCAGCTTGGTCCGGGCATGAATCACCTGACTGTTATTGGGCACCACAATCTGTGAGCTGTGCTTCAGTCCGCCCGCATCGCTAACCACCAGAGGATTGCTCTGACCGTTGCGCAAGCCAAAACGTTCCCGCTGATATTCGAGCCAGACGGCGCTGGGCGTGCTGAAGCCTTCGCCATTGGCATTTCGCTCAACTGCCTCCTGCTTGCTATTGCTATTGGAGCTGGCAAGAGGTCGTGTCTGAGAGTGTGCAATCTCCACCCACTCGGTGATGCTGAAGTGGCTCACTGCCAGCAGCAGCCACAGCCTGGCCACAAAGTGTTTCATCTTGTGTCTCCAATTGTTGTGCAGCGACTGCTGCAGCTGAGTCTTGCAACTGGGCTAGAAATCTCCGAGATGTATCCAAAAAGGGTGTCAACCGTTGCATGCCACTGAAGCATATTTGAAAAGAAGTAAGAGTGTTTTGGATGGCAGAGCACGACTAAAAAATACCCTGAGCAAAAATTTCATACTTGACAAAGGTAATATATATAATATATGTGAATATATTATCAGAGTCATTTATGAAAAATGGGTATTATTTACGGAAAGTATAACCAGAAGAGCAAGTGCTTAAAGTATAATTAGCTATATAATTAGCTTTAATATAAAATAATATATATTACCTATATACATAATAATGTACCAACTCACAAACAAAGAGACAAAAAGGCCAGATATGACAGAGGTTGTTCTATATGCTAATGGAACCTTGATGATGTAGTCCAAGTCAATATACACAAAAAACACGTAAACCCAATATACCCATTCCATTCTATAGGGTATTTAAACACACATTCATTTTCAAGCATTACTTGTCTGATTTTTATTATTATTTATCTATATCGGTTTCTATCTTTTTAGGTCTTTATTTTTGTAATTACATATTAATTGGTTCTAAAATACGAGCACAGCTGAGCGTTTGCATACATAAATATTGGATTGGTCTATATGGTCAGATGCATATATACGAAAATAATGCCAAACAATTTTTGATCTTAACACGCAGATGAAAGTGGATAAAAATATTCGAAAATATTAAAAGTTTAATTTACTTAAATTAATAAATTGATATTTACTTTTCTTTTCTTTTTTTTCCGTTAAGTTCAAAAATTGTTCAGATCATGCTCGCATATAGTATTAGAGTAAGTACCGTTATCCGTCAATTAAATATGTATGTATGTATAAGTATACTAATTTTGATTCTTAGGAAAAATTTAGCACAGAGACTTCAGTTACAAACGGTAGCTGGAAAAGCGTGAGAAATATTAATTGTGAATGAATTTTGTATTAATATTTGTTTGTATTTATGCGTTTGTTTTCTTTTTCTTTTGCTTCTGTTTCTTTTTAAGATCAAGCGTAAGAAAAGTTGTGCGAAATTCATGAAGAGACAATATCGAAAATTTTGATAAACGCCAAGATTTAAAAAATGTCTGGTTTTTCTTTTCTTTTCTTTTGTTTTTTTTTCGTCTTTGAACAAGGTGCTAATTAAAATGTTTTCACGTTAATTTACAGTCTGACAAATATTTGTGTGTACTATAAATGTATATATTTAAAAAACAATTAAATGTATGTAGAAAAAGCTAGTGGGTGGCGCAGGCAGAGGCGGAGGCAGAGGCCGAGGCGGTGATGGCGAAGTAGGCGGAGACGGAGGCTATTTAATGTGCTTGCACAGATGAAAGCGCATCCACTTTAACGCCTTGTCGCCAATGGCCTCCACCTTGGGCGAGCTGGACAGGCGATGGCAGCCGGCACAGTTCGAGGGCACGCTCTGGCTGCCCATGAGCTCCGCATGGGTTGCTGCTGTTGCTGTTGTTGTTGCTGCTGCTGCTGCTGCTGTTGCTGCTGTTGTGGCAGGTCAAATGTCGCCTGCGCTGTCCCAGCGCACGTCGTCGGCCTCGTGTGTGAGATAGCGCCCCAGACCCACCTGCGTCTCCAGGTTGCGCAAGTCTCTGTAGGTCTGCTTGTCCTGCAGCCAGTAATGCATCAGGCTCTTGTCGCAGGTGTAGCGTTTGCGCTGCTTCACTTGCAGCAGATTGTTGATGAGGTCAATGGCTAAAATGGAAAATAAAAATCAATATAAAAATCTTTGCCTCTCTTTCTCTATCTCTCTCTCTCTTTCTTACCATTCGAGGAGATCTCCTTCCAGGGATTTGGTGGGTACATGAAGGCAGCATTCTGTATCTGATCATTGATGTCCTCCTCCTCGTTGAAGGGAAAGGTGCCGCTCAAGCTCACATAGATGATCACGCCCACGCTCCACATGTCCAGGGAGCGATTGTAGCCCTTGTTGCGCAACACCTCGGGCGCCAGGTAGGCGGGCGTGCCCACCACCGAGCGTCGGAACGACTTCTCGCCAATGATGCGCGCATAGCCAAAGTCACAGAGCTTCACCTGCGGGAACTCGGCATCCGACGAGAGCAGCACATTCTCCGGCTTCAGGTCGCAGTGGACAATGTTCTGCGAGTGCAGATACTTCAGGGCGATCAGGATTTGTGTGATCAGAAATTTGGTCACACGCTCGCTAAGGCGTCCGCGCTCATGGGAGAGTATCATCTCGAGCATGTCGCCCTTGAGCTTCTCCATCACCACGAAGATGCGCTCCGGCGTCTCGAACATGCGCTCCAGGTTGACAACGCCACAGTGGGTTATGTTCTGCAGGATGGCCACCTCGTTCTTCAGCTGTGCCTCCTGCTTGGTGGGGAAGCGCAGCTTGTCAATCACCTTGATGGCCACCTCGCGCTTGGTCTTCTTGTGCACGCCGCCATAGACGACGCCGAACTGCCCGGAGCCGAGCACCTCATCCGGAAAGATCTGATAGAGCTGGCCCATGTCCTGCACCTGCTCCTCCGATTCGCAGCATTCTGTGAGAGGAATGGGGATTAGCAAAGACCTAGTTACATTTATGGATCTGGGAATCTTACGTGTGTTGGTCACATGCATGAAGGCCTGCCGTATGCTCGTCTCCCAGCTCTTGGCTATGTCGGTGCCGATGCCACTGTCCGGCGGCGGCAGACGCACCGCCTGCTGCTCGTCCACGCCCTGCTGCGGATCCTGGCCCACATAGTAGCTCAGATTGGCCGTGCACAGCTCGAAGCAGTAGTTGGCATTGGGCTTCGTTTCGATCGATATCAGCTCGGACAGCGGCAGCTCCTTGTGGTACTTGCTGCCCTGCTCCGAGACGAAGAGCGTTATGGTCTTCGAGTCCAGGCGCCAGTAGTAGCGCTTCAGCGCCTTGTCCAGCGAGGTGTAGTGCACCAGCCAGCCCTCCTTGATGGCCTGGCCGCCGCGCTTCTTCGTGTGCTTCACGGACTGCACGATGCGCATCAGGGGAATGTTGGCACTGGGCGAGGAGGACGACGAGGATTGCGACTGCTCCGACTGGCCGTCCGTCGATTTGGCATCGGCTCCCGTGCTGCTGCTGTTGTCCGTCATGGCGCCGTTGACTAGCTCCGGTGGTGAGTTCTGTGCATTGGTCAGCGCCTTTGGCGCCTCCCTTGGTCGTCCGGCCACCAGATTCGTCCCACCGCTGCCGCCGCCGCCGCCGCTGGCGCCCATGGCCTTATTGTTGTATATGGCAAACTCAGATTGGGGTCCGTCCTCGAAGTCGCTGTCATCGAACTCCTCGCGGAAGAAGTTGTCGCGCTCCTTGCGCGGCGTCCCCTCCCCGATCTCAGCCTGCAACTGGCTCATCTGCGCCTCGCCCGTGCAATCCTGCGGCACCTTATCCATGCACTTCTTGTGAGTATTGTACTGGCAGTCGCGGCACTGCAAGCCCTGCTTGAACAGGCCCTTCAGCAGCTTCTTGCAGTGCTGGCACACAGTGGGTATTCCATACGTGTGGACCATAAAGGTGTGCGGTATGCGGAGCACCAGCTGGCCGTTCCGGCTGCTCGCGGAGTGGGTGCGCTGATGCCGGCCCGTATATCCTGGTACGTTCTAGAGGCGAAATACGAAATCGTTAGAAAATGCCACTTGGTAAGAGCATGCTCGACTTTGAGATACCCTGCCCGCCTAGCCGATTCCCTTGCAACTTTGCGCTGCTGCGCATTTCTTTTAATTTTGACTAAAATACAATTTAGAATTTTAAACTCAAAATTAAGCCAAACTACCTAAGCATTGCACAAAAGCAAAATATATTAATTTATAAATGGCCAGAGGGAGCATCTGAGTTGCCTAGTTTCATATGTCAGGATTTTAATCAAACTTTGATTTTTTTTTTTTTTACCAACTCTCCACTCTAATTGACTCTCAACGTTATATGAAATTTTGTCAACCTCACCCTTTTTCAACTCTCCGTGAGTTATATTTCTGCAATAAAGCCTTTTGCCTTATAAATTAAGCATTCTACACAACTCTCAAATTTTCTTTTGTTTATCGATATTAGGCCTTTCATTGTTAAAAACTTCATATACTACGGTGTAGTCAAGTTTATTCTGGCTTTAAATCTCCAGTCTACACTAATTTTGTTTGTTCCCATTTTTTATTAAGTCAAGTACAAGTCTATTCTAATTTTAAGTCTCCACTGTTAGGCATTAGGTCTCCACTCTATACGAGTTACACTGTTTCTATTAAAGTCAACTCTTTTATTGTACGAACAGAATGCAATTGCAATTTAAGCTCTCCATTTTATAAAACTCTCCAAATTATTCCTTTAAAAAAGTTCTTTAAGTTGTCTACTTTTCATTCTCCACTCTACACAACTCTCTAGCTCTTCAGCTCCCCACTCTAAATAACTCTACAAACGTAACTCTCCTGTTTTTCATTCTCCACTCTACACAACTCTCCAACTCTTCAGCTCCCCACTCTAAATAACTCTACAGACGTAAAGCCCACTCTATAATATACTCCCTACGAGTATTTAACAGAATTTCAAATGAAAGCCAACTAAAGCAGTTTTATCAAAATTAAATAAAGTTTATTCAAAAAATAATACGAGTATATGTTTGTATGTAAAAGTAAAAAGCAAAGAGAATTCATGTAAATCATGTCTGGAATACTCGTAGGTAGGGAGCCCTGTTACCGCTTAACCCCAACGCACTTAAACCGCACTTAAGCCCATCTGCCACTGCGTTACCCATATTTAATTCTTAATTATGTCATTCATAAGCTCCGACATGCGTTTTACCAATGAGCTGCTGGAGTCGTGGCGACCCGTCGACTCCTCGTTGGAGACAAGCGACTGCTGTGAGCTGCCAGAGGGGCTGCGGGGCGGCTGCAGTGTGACCGAGCGTCTCGAGGTGGCATCACTGGAGCGGTTACAATTGTTCGGGATTTTCACCACACAACGCTTGTGATAGTTCTGACCACAGCCTGTGGTGAATGATACATGCATACATACATATACATATACATATACATATAGATATATGTATATGCATGTCGCAAATTGAGTTAGTTTTTATGACTGAGCAGACGAGAATCTCTCTCTGTGTATATGTGTCTGTGTGTGTGTGTGTGTGTGTGTGTGTGCGCGTACATACCATCGCATTTGAGTCCTTGACGCACCAGTCCAAACAGCATTTCACCGCAGAAATCACAGAATGTGGGCGCCTTATAGGAATGAACGTTCAGGCTGTGCGGCTTCAATGTTGGCATTTCCGATGTCGGATATAGTATGGCTGTTGGCGAGCAAGGGCAGAGGGTGAGTGGGTGACAGAGTCAGAGTGAATGGATATGGCTGATGACATTTGTTAAATAGTGTGTATGTGTGTGCGTGTGTGTGTGCTCATCGAACATTGATTGAAGGCGACAACACAGCAACTACTTACGACTCGCTGTTAATACAATTTCCACCAATGTCTCGTCCACAACTTCCGCTGTGGAATTGATAATGTGCAGCACATTGGGCGTGCTATAGTCGTGTATGAAGAGCAGAATGCGCTCTGACAGATATGTGAGTCCACTATCTGGTATCTGTGAATAGACAAAGGAGAAGACATGACAGAGAGTGAGTGAGTGGGAGAGAGAGAGAGAGAGGAGATGCATGTCAATTTTTGATGTTTTGCTTAATTTAACGCTCATTTTGCATATGGCACTTATCATATGTGTATACATATATCGGTTATCATATCATATCTTAATTGATTGTGCGATAAGATTCTAACGTCCACACACACACACACACACACTACCATACATACGCTATTGAGTGGGATATCTATATCAATTAATATATGTCTATACAAATACAGTTAGTTGTGCATAATCAATTCAGTTAGAAAATATGCTATGCTTGAGATACCCTGTTAAGAGAACAATTTTCATATTATTTAAGCTATTTGCTTATTAGTTTAATAGGGGTATTTTCAAGGGTTCTTACCCACATAATGAGTTCATTATTTATTCTATATCTGTGATATATTTCTTTGAAAAACTATAAGCAAAGTCTTACAGAATTAGTATTTTTATTGATTGTAAAAATATTCCAATTAGATTTCTTCCCATCTGAAAATTCCTTGACTATAAAGATATCCGAATTTAATCATTTTCTTTAGGAAAATCGTATGATTCGCCTTACAGTCAACTTATTTTTCTATATATACAGTAATACATTAATAGAAATAGAATTTCTATATTTGTGGGAGAACAAAGTTCGATTAATAGATCAGAATCAGATCCGAATCAGCTTGTTTTCAATCAGATAATGTTTAGAATTTTCGTGTAGAAAAACTTTCATATAGTATATCATATATTACAGAGTATTTAATTATAGATTGTTCCCCCTTAGAAACGTGATGTAGCTAAAAGTTTCCTAAAATTGGATTCCTAGAGTTTAATTTTTGTCTAAAAAGTGTTCACGAATCATAAACCGATTTCAAGCAGATTTGATATTCTCTAGAAAACCTGACTCAGCGATATAAGTTCAGAATTGAGATTTCCATATAATAAGTACGTTGTCTTCGTCTGAGTAAACACATTCCAATTCGATCATCGCTTATTTGCATGTATTAAATCATATGTGTACATAGATTGATATGTATATCTTAAGTAATTGTAAACTACTTGCGATGACAATATATAGCCAACGGGATAAGAGAGCCATCATAGCCCATTATTTAGTATGGACATTGAAAAATGATACTTGTGTCAGCGGGAGCAGCTGTCAAAGCTCAGGCCACAGGACGTGCCAGGGCTGCAACGCAACTGATTCGGGCCAAGAGTGAGTGCCAGCTGGCTGCTTGGCCGCTTGGTTAATTGAATTGGTCATGGATAACTGCGCAAAACGGAAAGCGTCTACTGCTATGCTGTCTATGGGACTCCGACTTACTTAATGAAATTAAGCAATTATAGTGCACACATAAATTTATTAGGTACACAGTACGACTAGGCAAATAAACAAATACAGCGAGAGAGGGAGAGAGAGATACTAAGAAAGAGAGAGTGGGAAGAGGGATAGGTACACACAGAGAGAAACAGTGAGAGAGAGAGAGAGAGAGAGAGAGAGAGAGAGAGAGAGAGAGAGGGAGAGTAAGGGATAGAGCATAGTCGCCTGTAGGCCAGTCTAACGAGGCTAAAGCTGCACAGTGGGCCTGCGGGCTAAGAATTAACAGGAAAAATCCAGCCTAAGGCAGGTATATAATAAGATTAGTTCATTTGATTTGCATTGTATGAAGCGACATAACATTTAAGTTGAATTAAAGCGTCTTCGATGCAGTATAAGCCTAACTAAAAATATTATTATAAAATTGTATACAGCTTATATTAGGTATTATGGAATTTCTGTTCAAATAGTCAGTCAAATGTTAAACTTATAACATCTTCCTAATTAATTAATTTTTTTTTTTTTTATTAAGTTTTGAGCTCACAATAATTTACAAAGTAAATTGAAATCTACTACAACTTTTGATTTTGTTATTTATAAATATATTTATACAATATATAAATTATTGCACTATGCTGTTATTATATTGGTCAATTTAAGAAGGAAATAAAAATATCAAAAATGAAAAAAATGAATATTTATAGTAGCTTAAAAAAATGATTTTAAAAATTAATATTACTTTAGTTGAACTATACGTATTCCTTTCATATGAAATTTTGATAAAGAAAACAAAAATTAATTATAAAAAAAAAAAAATGTATACATATATTGAATGTATAGAGACACCCTGTGCAATCGTTTGCCGTACAATTTTTGTTTTTTAGTCGGATGCATTAACTAACCATTTCAAATCAAGATTTTCATTAGGTACATAGATATTTGGTTCCACTGTGCATTAGTCTGTTGACTTGGCCGCGTTCCGCGCAATAATATTGACTAGCTGCATGTATTTGTGTAGATGTGTGCGTGCGTGTGTGGGTGTCCGTGTGTGCTTAGCTTTTGCATAATTTAGTCGACAGATGTTGACCCATTTGGTCGATCCCAGCCCAGCCGGGCTCCCTCACTCACCTTGGTGTTGATGAAGTCGCATGCCAAATCCTTGAGCGTTTTCAGCGTCAATGCATTTACCGGCACACAAACTGCGTCGCGCACGCTGCCGAATTGGAAGAGGAATGTCACCTCCGGCCCCTCCATGATGACCGGCACGCTGCCAACCGCGCTGCCGACGCTGGCGCCGCAGCCGTTGGTGCTGCTGCCGCTGTTGCTGTTGTTGTTGCAATGTTGTTGTCGTTGAGCCAGGTTTGCGTCTTTGGGGCGCTCCAGCTGCGCGAACGATTGGCGTTATCTTAATAAAAAGTTTCGTTTCAGCAGCAGTTGCTGCCCAAAGCTCATCAAGGACGAAGGACGCGTTCCTTTTTCCCTTAATCCTGTTGTTTGTTGCTGTTAATGTTATTCTTATTGCTGTTGTTGTTGTTGTTGTTGTTCTTTTTTTGGACGTTTTCAGTGCAAGTGCTTGCGGTTGGCTTCGGTTTCGGTTCGAGCGTTGGCGGGGGTTTTCGTAATTCTAGACAGCCATTAACGGTTTGTGAAAAATAACTGAAATGAAGTTCGAAATAGGAAAAAAGGTTAGCAAATTATTGGCTTTATTTTTTATTGCCATGCACTTGATTTAATCGCTGGCCATGGGATATAAAAAGAAAAATCAATTCAAATTTAATAGCCAATCCGCAATATTTACGGGCTCTGCTTTATATGGTCGAGGTACAATCAAATTGCAGATATAACATCAAATTTAAATAGATTGGTGTTAAAGTTGTTTATTCGATTCACCAAATAGTTCAATATATTCTATATTCTATATTCTATATTCTATATTCTATATTCTATATTCTATATTCTATATTCTATTCTATTCTATTTATAAATATAGAACTTAATTCCTTGACATCATTCACTGAGAAAATCATAGAAAGCAAAAACAAAAGTTTATAAACTAAACCTGAAGTCAATTAATAATGCACAATTTACATACTCAGGTGTTCTGGAGAGCACTCAGCACACGTTCTCGCAATCAATAATATTGTTCAGTTCGATAGTTAAGCCAATTTCCTCGTAAAACCCTTTTCGAAATTGAACTTTTAGTAAGTTAGGTCATGGAGCGTGTATCTGGGAAACAATGGGCCCATAAATAATGTGAGCGTGAATTAGAAATTTGAATTTGATTACGTTGCGACTGCAGTCGCTTAGGTAGATATAGTATAATGTACATATATAGTATATTAGATGGAGCTAATTGGGCTTATTACACAGAAACCGGTTGCTAATTGCTCCACAAGATGAACACATGAGATTATTGTCTATGAATAAAGTCAGATTCCATCCAAAAACAAAAAAAAAGCAGGAAGAAATAAAATTTGTATTTCACATGTCAAGAAAATGTCAGATATTAACAGCAATTAATAAACAGGCCCAAGACCTAAAGAATGCAGAGTACATACATAAGTGTATGTAAGTGTGTGTGAGTGAGTGCGTGCGTGCGTATGTGTGTGTGTGTAGAAGACAACGAGGCCCAAGTTAACGAAATGAAAGCCAGACCAAGAAAAAGACTCGAACGCGTCGGCTGAGAAGCAACTTTCTAAATTTTTTAAGTAGGTGTATGGAGTGTAAATGTTATTGTTGCTGTTACAGTTGTTGTTGTTGTTGTTGTTGTTGTTATTGTAGCTGCGGCCAAGGCTGAGGGATAAACGCGTAAGCACCAAGCGCCGCCAAGTGCGTTTCGTATTTCAATTGAGGCTGGGAGAGGCTGCGGACTGGAATCACTTCAAGTGGCTGACAGAATTTGAGCAGCAAATGACGCAGCCTCAAGTCAATGCTGGCATTTAACACACACACATACACACGCGAACACAGACAGAGCACGTACACACACATAGACAAAGACATGGAGAGTTATAGCATTAAATCTCGTTGAATTTGGACATTTTTACATAACAGCCAGCAACAGCTGCCGCATACGCAATTCCTTAACAAATTCTTTAGATTTATATTTATTGTTATAAATGTTAAATTTGTTAAATTTCCTATTTTGTTGCTGCCTGCGACGCTTGCCACTTGGTGGCATTGTGACTAACCCGTTATAATGCTGCTGTTGCTTGTTGTTGTTGTTGTGGTGGCTGTCTCTTGCCCGTTTGTTTGTTTGTTCTATGCGTTGCAATTCGCTGTTATTGTCGCTGGCATTGTCGCCGCGGCACGTTCTGTGTTAACTAAGCCAAAAGAGCAACTGATTTGGCCAACTGACTCCAAAGGCGACAACAGCAGCAGCAGCAGCAGCAGCAGCAGCGACAGCGGCAGTTGGCAGTGGTAAAAGCCAACTCAAAACCCGTTTTACTACACAAACACACATACACACACAATAGTCACTCACACACACGACGAATGCTCTTTCGCTACAAGAGAGTGTGGGAATGAGAGAGAGAGAGAGAGTATGTAGAGAGCGCCGCGCTTAGCCGTATGTGTATATGCAAGCGTGTGCGTGTGTGTGTGTGTGTGCTATGAACCAAAGCACTCGACCCAGCACGACAGTTCGTTCCCCTCTCGACCCGCCCACCCGCTCCCGCCCTTTGCTGATAGCTCTTCGCCCCATAATATTTGCCACTTTGTTTGTTTCCTTTGTTTGTTTGTTGTAACGACCGTTGCCACAGCCGTTGCTGCTGCTGCTGCCGCTGCCGCTGCCTTAAAATAATCTAGTAACATTGTTGCCACTGCMACAACGATTTTGCACTTATTTGCCCTCTCTCTCTCTCTCTCTGTATCTCACGCTCCTTCTCTCTCATCTGGCCACCCACTGCAGCTAGTCATAGCGCGCGCCCATTTTCTTTGGCTGTCATTGTCAAGGCTGTGCGAAAAACTACCTGTGGTCGCTGATAGCCGATTTTCATTGCGACACTCAACCTGACATTCTTCTGCTTCTGCTTCTTCTTCTTCTTCTACTTGGCGCCCGGCGTGCCATGCCCTCTGCTGCTCAGCGTAAATACCTCTATTTAGTTAAGGGCTTCTGTCAACGCTTCAAGCGGTTGAATGAAAAAATAATGCAGAGAAATATTTTATTTATTTCTTTTATTTGATGCCTATTGCAAGCTATGTGAATGTGGGTAGATAGGTTTTGGTCTAGTGTATGTAACTGACAATTTTTATTAGCTTGTCTATGCATTTGAGGCGAGGCTTATCTATTTAGCTTGTTGTATCCTTTATCTACATAATATCGATAAATATCGGTTATGCTTATGATACAGTAAAGTCATAAAGAGTTGCCGTTATTGAAAAAATAGACAGTTTGAGTCGGATTCATATATATACAATATGTAAAGCCCAGCTACAGGGATTATATATTTTTGAAAAAAAAAAAAAAAAAAAATAGTATTAATTATTTATATACATTTGATTTGCAGAATCTTTCTTTATATAAAATTCTATGGAAATACTTTCAAATAATATGTGTTTTTCTAAACATGTACTATACAGGGTATCAGGCTATCAGTAAACTGTAGAATAAATTTAATTTCAGTCTTGCATACTTCCATTTTACAGGGTATAGCCGTAGTCGCTAGCGAACTTGTCTGGGCCGTGCCATTCATCAGCTTTGGCAGATTTAGCTTTGTATTTTTATTTCTTTTGTATAGACAGTCAGCAAACAAAAATGGTATAATGCTCGCTTTATACACTTAGAAGCCAAACGCAAATTAGAGCTCGAAATAGTCACGTTTATAGGAGCGTAAAGCTGAACAGTTTCTCTGCTGTTTGCCAAGTCTTTGTTCTGGTTTTGCCAATGCCAAAGGACATTAAGAGTTCTTCTCCATTGTCTGTATGTATATAAGCACACCAATATTATATATGTGTATACATTCCCTTGTTGTCTCATTTCAGCTCAGAGGCCACCACGCTCACATGTTTATTTGTTGAAATATTATTAGATTTGAAATAGAAATGAAATGCAAATAGATGGAAGCATTGCCCGCATATAAAGCTGATAACGGCTAGGCGGCACAGACCCGACCACAGCAGGGCAGGGCAGATCGGAGCACAGAGCACAGCGCATGGCATCATCATCGATAGATAATTAGCAAGGTGATAATGGGGCCAACGAGAGCGGCATGTGAGCGATGTGAGAGATGTGAAAGATGCTGCCCAGCCACGATAGACAGGTTCAAATTCCACTGTGGGTGGGCGACCCATGCGCCAGCAAAATGACGAAGGGCGTGCGGCTAACTGTCATAAATCGCAGTCAGCAGTATGCGGGCTACGTATAAGACTTTGAAACAGCAGCAGGCGGACACGGACGGGACACGGACAGCAGCACGGACCTGACGCAGTCCCCCATAAATACCAAGGCCAAGGAATAACTTGAACGTGTTTTCTTTATTTGTTTGCCTTTCCCAGCCACACTCCACTTCACTATAGATTGGACTTGGTGGCACACAAACATTTACAAATGGCATATAAAATGACGCACACAGACTCTGCATATGCACTGCACAGCTATGGGCATTTAATTAGAACTGCTAGACCGAGGAAAAGATCAGGCAATGCTCAAATTAAGCTTAGATTAAATATAATTAATTTTAT